GGGTGAGGGGGTAAGAGATCAACCAAAGGACTTATATGCATGCATATGAGCATAACCAATGGACACAGATGGGAGGAGGGGAGAGATGAGGGCATGTGCTGGGGGTTGGGGGTGGCCGGGGAGAGGTCGATGGGGGAAAAAGGAGACTTATGTAATACATTAAACAATAAAGAATAAAAGAAGATTTTAAAAAAATCCCTGACTCTCCAATCTTTTGGGTTTCTTTCATTCAGTCATTAATACATATATTTATGTATGCATTCAATGAACTGTAAACCTAGCTGTGAATGAAGTATTGACAGTCGATGACCAAAATACAGCACAACCAGTCCATCACAATGGAAGAAACAGCATATTGATTGCTCTCAGTTCCTAGGAGGGCAATGATATTCTAACTTCTATTTTCTAAGAAACAGACATATTGCTTTTCTCTCAAGGAAATAATATGCTGTTTCTAGATATCTTTCAAAGAAAACAAATGTAGTCAGCTATTCTTTTTAAAAAATTTTTTTTATTGATTTCAGGAGGAAAAGAAAGAGACAGAAACATCAATGATAAGAGAGAATCCTCGATCTGCTGCTTAAGGGGATCGAGCCCACAACTTAGGCATGAACCCTGACCGGGAATAGAATCATGACCTCCTGGTTCATAGATCAACGCTCAACCACTGACCCACGCAGGCTGGGCGTCAGCTACTCTTTACCTACTAATTACTTAACTTAGCATTTATCTACTTTGATTCTCTCCTTCTCAGTTCCACCCTTGCTCCCTACCCACTCTATCCTACCCTATTTCCATGTTTAGGATTTGGTTCTTGCCCATAATTTAAATCCAACTCAACTCAATTAAGTTCAGTTTTCATTCATGGGGCCTTTCTCAGTACATGGAGCTTACAGGATGCAGGAATTACCTTCAAAGAGTTTCTAATCAGTCAAGTGGAAAACAAGAAACATCAAGATAAAAATGTGTTTGGTGCCCTGGCCAGTTTGGCTCAGTGGATAGAGTGTCAGCCCTAGGACTGAAGAGTTACAGGTTTGATTTGGGTTAACGGCATATACCTCAGTTGCAGACTTGATCCCTGGCCCTGGTAGGGGTGCGTGCGGGAGGCAACCAATTGATGAGTCTCTCTCATATTGATGTTTTTCTTTGTCTAATCTCCTACCTTTCACTCTCTCTAAAATCAATGGAAAAAATATCCTCAGGTGAGGATTAACAAACAAACAAAAATGTGTTTGGAGAAAGAAGCAGAAAAGCTAGACCAGTCAGTGAGGCCACAGAGCTCTGTTTTAACCAAGGGGGAAGTTCTACATCACCAACTGCTCCTCATCCTTTCCAGGTTATCTGCTAGCCTGCACTATCCTTGCCATCCTTGTCTCCCATCTATACTAATAAAAGGGTAATATGCTAATTAGACCGGATAGATCGGATGTCTTTCAGACGTCCTTCCAGACAAAGCCACAGTGGCTTCGAGGGCCGAGGGGGGCTGGCAGCCGTAGCAGCCAGCAGTGGCAGCAGCAGCAGGGTGATGGGGGCAGCACCTTCCCCTGATCACTTGGTTGCCTCCCGCAGAGGGAGGCCAGACTGTGGCTTAGGCCCGTTCCCTGAGGATTGTGAGAGGGGGCAGGCTGGGCTGAAGGACCCCCTCTAGTGCACGAATTTTCATGCACCGGGCCTCTAGTTTGTATATAAATATAAATTAACCCTAAAGAATGTGATTTAATCTGTTGGTTACTGATATCTGGAAGCTGTATGACATTTTTGTCTAAAGGATAAATGTGTCGAAAAGCTTTGCCATTAGAGTCCGAGACATTAGCCTTTGCTAAGTGATGTGTTGTGGGCCAGTTTTTTAACTGCGTGGAGGCTCAGCTGGCCCACCTGTAAAATGGGGATAGCACCCATGTTTCCTTCTTTTCCTTTTTCATTTCTCTATGTGTACCTCCCTCTTTCCCTCACTTTCCTCTTTGGATGTTCAAAATGTCCACGAGGTATCATGTGAATTTCCTTTCCAGCAGACACTCACTGATCCCAGGAACCTGGGAGGAAGAACCTGCTGTTTTGGGTGGTTGGAAAGATAGAAGGCTCTCACAAATTTGAGTTTGCTCTGACCCCCAAACAAAGTCCAATATGCATGTATCCACTTGTGTAATTATGAAGCCATATGTCAGTTGGCTTAATTCTTCTGAAAAACAATCCATAAAACTAAATTATAATCTGCTAGAATTATGATATGACCAGCACAGATGTGGCTACAGTACACTGAAGTCACTGCTTGGTACTAATGTACATTAGTCAAAAGAAGGACATGTATACTTCTTGATTTAGGATTTCCAGATTAATGCACTGTAGAGCTTACTGGGGACACCGATTTTGCTCTCCCACAATGGAAATGACCGATTTGGGGCAAGGAGAGTGGCTGTATTCTATTAAGCAATCACTAGCCAGATAGCTTCTAGCAAACTTGTGCATTTAAAACAAAGCCATCTTAAGCTCTTGTCTACCTCCAGGACCTCCAAGTTTCACCAGAGATTCAGGATGATGGCTTTTGTCAGTGGCCAACAAGGAGTGTGAAATGAACACCACTGTCCCCAGCAGAATAGATCTGTAGTGTTGGGTGTGGGAGACGCCTCTCTGGTTTCTCTCCTGTGCTCCGAAAACACCCCCCCCCCCCACTCGCCCAGAGTGCATTCATCAAAATAGCCCATGTGTGACCTTTGGAAAAGTCCTTGAAAACAGTGAAACAAGAGTCTTAGTTGAAATCTGGAATTCATTCCAGTCTTACACAGGAAGAAAATTAGGCATAGAACAACAAAGCCTATAGTTCTGAGAAACCTGGGGAGGCTCTGGCTGACATGAAAATCATTGATTTTTTTTTTCTTCACTACTTTGTTTTCCATAAAAGCTTTCATCTAAGTAACCAAAGCTGCTAGAAAATACTGTAATGTTAGTAGATGGCAAGCACTGGTTTCACCAGTGAATAATGCAGGCAGAATAAGAATAGAGATGCTGAGTAATATATTAGAAGTCACTTACTTAACACTTTTGCAAGCTACTAAGTAAATGCTATTCTTCCAATATAAAAGTGGCGAATGCTACCATTTCCCCCTGGGTTAACATATTGGCAATAATGGGATTAGGCATGGAAGCTTGGGGTAGAGAGAATAGCTATGTTCCCTAAGCCCCCAACTCCATCATAGAATTCATTTGCCTAAATATCATGGATCTGGAAATATTTATTCACTTAGAATGTGAATCAGCAGAGGAGTCTGGTTGCTCAGTAAATTAAACTGTACAAACATTTGTGGGGTAACACTATTTTTATAAGTACAGACCAATTCCCTTTGTCGCCAGCTGATACTATTCACTATTAATTTGCCATACCATATGCTTTTATTTCATATGCATAAGTAATCACAAGCCTGTACTCCCTTTGGAAGCATTTTACTTCTTTGCCAGCAAGGAAAGGGCAGGACACTTTGAGTCAAGTGGTAGCATAAAACCCAGTGAAAATCAATTGGCAGGGAAATTTGGTTTGGACTTATGTTTGAGAATCCACCTCAAGTTTGTCTGGGAGGTCCCTCAAAAAGGATTCAGACCTGAACCAAACAAGAAGATTCAGAAATAATCCAGCTGCGGGAGGGCCGTAGGATGCTCAGACCCAGAACACAACTTCATACACATGAATAATTTAATTTTTTCTTAAGTACCTTTACAGTTCATTTTTTATTTTCCTTAAAAAAAAAAGTAAATGGCATTACTCTGGTCTCCAAAACTGATGCCAGTTTGAACTATACTCTGCCAGCAAGTATTTGGTTTGGCTCTGCAGGGCTTGAGTTGAAAAAATATTTGCCGATTCCAAAAAGATTTAACGAGCTTTGCTGAAGATGCCGGTGCCATTTGGCATGTCACATGGACTGTGGCACAGCAAAGAGAACTTCTTGACCACAGATTTTATTTGCCGGAGGTAGCCAACACTGGGAGTTCCATCGCTTCCTTGGGTCAAGAAGCTGCAAGTCAAATGAGTGAAGTTTCCAAGAGAAAATGACTGAAGAAGACATTTTAAAAAAACCAAAAAACTTGCTGCCATTGAAAATGAACTCACTGGGTTTTGATAGCTAATTTTCAGAACTGTCAAGAACATCCTCACACCAGCCATCAAACAAGGTCCCTAATGCTCTCAGTCAGCAAACCAAATAAATCTCCAACTTCTCGAAAAAGGACTCATTAGCAACACATAGTCAAACCTTTTGTTGTCATTGGATAGCTTACTAATTGTGGTGTTAGAATTTGAATGAGGATTGAATGACCTACTTCAAGCAACTTCACTAGACAAAACCAGCAAATTTACTTTATATTGCCAAGTTGAACATGCGTTGCTTTTTATTAATATTTAGAACATAAATGCATGAATCTAGCACTGGGATTGGGAAGACTGACCTTACTGCACATAAGTCGCATATAAAAGTCACTGAAGGCTGTCACCTGAAATCATGTGCTTCAGTTACTCTGCACTGATCCTCTCCAATCAACGTCACATCTGACAACTATGACAAAAAACGCAAAATATTCCCATCATAGTGTGTGCTTAGAAATAACATGCATGTATAAATGGGTATGGAGACAGGGCGAGAGGCACTGAAACTGTGACCACCTTGAAGAAGAGAAACACGGGATTAGTTTTAATTTCAGGTTATGAGTAAATACACACATACTTAGGTGTACCCACTTAACTGCTATGGATCCCCCCAAACTTCTCCCTATCTCTTTCACTAAGGCCACGCGCTGATCCAATGCTCATTACATGATCCTCTACTTCAAGGTTCAGTAACAAACACCCTCCAAGAAAGAGCCAAGCTCTGCACACAACATTTGCACAGAAAGACCTATTCACCACAACAAAGACGGAGCCCTCTACCTGACTTGACTGAAATGTGGAAGCCAGAATAGGAATCAAAAGAAAAACATCATGCAATAACAAAAGGGTGATTATACGTGTTATTTACCATTTTGGCTTCTGAATGCATCGGCTGGACTTGGGGAGAAGCACAGGGGTTGCTGAGATTTGGACCCTGCATTCCCAGGAGGTTGGAGTTCACTGACATTTGTCTCTCCATCTAAGACAAAGGAAAGCAACAGAGTCAAGAGGCTGAGGAGGCTGTCTAGGCCTTAGACAAAGCTGCATTTTTCTTTCAAATGAATCGTGTCTAGTTTCTTTGAATAACTGCGGAGAAAGTCTGTGGTTTGGTGAAGGGCAAGCAATGCACTCCTGAGCCTTGAACCCAACCACATCAAAGAATCACCCAAAGCTACACCTTCTATAGAAGATGCCCCAAGCCAAACAGAACTACCTTGTCATGTAGATCACTTCCAAACAAAAGTATGGAATATTTTCACGTTTGCAAACCCTCCAACTGCCACAAATTATACTGATTTTTATAGCTATGAAGAATAACATATGCATAGAAAAATGCTGGAAGGATATACAATATACCAAATGGTTATCTCAGGTTATCTGTGGCTTTTCCCCCCATCCCTAAATTTCATACAGAAACATGAATCATTTTAGCAATAAGAAAAAATAAAATCAATTTTGAAAGCATCTCTGGTGGGTCTGCCTGTTGTTCTTCCTCATAAACACAACTGAAAGGACCCAGCCAGGTATTTGATCCTCTGCCTCCAGCACATGTCTTCCTCCCTGTTAACCTCCTCATGACTACACAGCTGCAGTCTCAGGCCTCAGGGTGGGACCGGGCCTGTGGGTAGGAGAAGAAGGCAGTGGAGGGTTTTGATGACATGATCCACCGATCCCACACTGTCCTGCTAACCCGCTATGGTGTGTAGCATCAATATCATTCAAAGAGCTGCATTAAATTCTGGCATTTTTGTCTCCAGGGTGTTCCTGCTAAAAAGTAAATATAGCAAGATCTCTATTTCAGTCATGGGAGAGTGTGTCTGATGAATATTTTCTGTTTAGCAGAAAATTAGCCCCTTTCAGAGAACCAAAATAAAGCAAATATACAGGTTGTGAGTACATAAAAAAGTTTATTCTTGTATTATTTATTAATTATTGTATTATTTTCCATACAAAGAACTGTAAACCTACTTTTGCCTCAACCTCGACTTTATACTGAAATCACAGAAAATAATGAGACGTTCCTAGGGGGATTCTTCAATGCAAGAGTTTTTCCATTTGTTAAAAGATGGAAATGAAAACAATGGTCGGAAATTTTAGGGAACCAGGTTTCTGCTCAAAGTTAGCCTAGGTAGTCTTTGGGAAATACAGAGCTCCTTCTCACTGAAGGAAAGCTCACAGAGGAGAGTTGAGAGCGATAGTTGAACTAAATGACCCTTTAATGTCCTTTCCATTGTTGAGGTTCTGTGACTGCAATTCCTGTTGTGCCCACTCCTGGGGCAGGGCGTGGCTATGACACTGATGTGTGGATTAGCAGAGGTGCTGCTCAGCTTCTCCTGAATGCCTGGTTGACACACCCCTCACTGCAACACCACCAGCCTTACCTTAGCCTGAATTAGTTCATCTGTATCAACAGTGTGTGGATATGTCAAACTGTTCCAAAAGGAGCTATTGAAAGAATTTCCTAGATGTTCTAGAGCACACCTGCAAAACCTTTTGAGGCTTTACCAATTCAGTAAAATAAAATATTTAAACTCATATCACCCCAAATTATTTTTTTTATCCCAGCTGGTGTTGCCCAGTGGTTGAGTGTCGACCCATGCATCAAGAGGTTGTGGTTCAATTCCTGGTCAGGGCACATGCCTGGGTTGCGGGCTCTATCCCTGGTGAGGGGTGTGCAGGAGGCAGCCAATAGATGTTCTCTCTCATCAATGCTTCTCTCTCTCTCTCCTTTTCTCTTCCTCTCTCTTTCTCTCTAAAAAAAATTAATAAAAAAAATTTAAAAAAGATTTTAAAAAGGTAATTTTTAAAAGTCATGGTAAAATATACATAAGAATTTCCATTTTAACAATTTTTAAGTGTACAGTTTAGTGCCATTAACTACATTTGTGTACTCTAATTCTTGTGTGTGTGTGTGTTCTCTAATCCTTACATCATGAAGATTGTTCTGGAAAATGCTTATTACTGATAACTCCCACTTCCAGAGGCTGGGGAACAGGACAGTCAAGTAGCATTTCACCCCTTTTTCCAGTAGATGACCTTCTCCTAGAGAGAAATCAAGCCCAACTCAGTTTTTGCCCTCAGTTTTCCCAAGGAGATCTTTGGAACGTCCGGCAGTACAGGTGACTGTCAGACGTTCCCACACTGCTAGCCCTCATGCACTACAAACCTCAGAGCAGCCGGTTTCAGCATCTGGATCCCCAATCCACCGTGCTTCCCACTTATCGGAAAAATTATAGTCTATGACTATTTCTACCTCGTGACTCACAAATTAAACAGAATTTTGAAAACAGGCTGACTTCTCTATCTAAAAAAAAATTGCATATTTCCCTCTAAATGATTATAGGGTCAGGAGCAGTCTCTTCAAAACAACTCTTTGGTGCTCACTAATAAGGCTCTGCACCGAGCCTGTGGCTTTGAGGAGCTGGCTAGAACAAGGGGTCAGAAGATGGGGGAGGCTTTGCACTGTCCGTAAAACATCCAGGTTAAAGAATTCACCTTTTTTTTTGAGCTTTTTTTTCTCCCTGTAAATATACTGGAGAATGGAAGCTAAGATATCTGCACTTCAGGGGGCTTTTGTAATAATAACTGGATGTTCATATCCCCAAATTAATTAAGCATGTGACTTTGAAGATAGAATATCACAACCCAGTGAGCTCCTTAAAGGCAATGCCTGCCTTGTTCCTCACCCCATCCTAGAATCTACCATGGTAGTTGGCCCATAGAAGGTGCTCAACAAAAGTTTGTGGAATGAGTGAATGAACAAATACATCATTTTCTTTCAGACCCAAGGCTCTGTGAAATGTGTGGCATAATAGCATATGCTACCAATCAGTTAAAAGTCTCACCTGCACCTGCAGACACAGACCTTTTTTATACCCGGAAATCATGGTTTTCTGTGGCAGGAACTCTAGAAGATGATGCTCAAAATGCCAGCATTATAGCATTGGAGCTGGTGACTTGATAATATGGAAGAAAAGACCCAGATTTCTAGGTCCAGTAACTTTTAGGATATGCTTTTTAGAGCTTTTATATGAATTTCCATTAGTTACATCTATGTCACTTTCGACCTCAGTTTCTCAACCTCAGCACTATTTACAATTTGAGCAAAATAATTATTTGTTGTGGTGGCTGTTCTGTGCATTGTAGAATATTTAACAGCATCCCTGGCCTCCACCCACTAGATGCCAGTCACTCCCCCCACCCCTGCCCCAGTTGTGACAATCAACAGTATTTCCAGATGCTGCCCAACGTTCTCAGGGAGCCAAATCACCCCTGGCTGAGCATCACTGCTCTGGACTGACACTATTGTCGTGGCAGCTGCTACCTGTCCCTGACACGGGGTTGGGAACTCCTGTGCAGGAAGCATCCCTGATTTTTATCTACACTGGCTCTGCACCATGCACATGATTCTTCGTTTCTATTCTGAAGCATCACCAGGAGGTCAAGTTGTACAATGAAGTGATGTGGCACAACAAAGAGAGGCAGGAAACAGGTGCTAGGTACCTTTTTTCTGGGCCCTTTCAACCCAAGTGTCCCACATTTGTCCCTGAGATTGGTACACACTTGAGTCAAATGGAAGAAAGGTCACTCAGTGATATTTTCTGAACAACGCATCAACTTGCTGAGAGGAGACTAATTCCTTTTTGAGAGGAATTTAGAGCCTAAATGGAGACGGCATATGGTGGATGTCTTCATGCAATTAGTTGGGTTGAATAAAACCTGGGTTAATGACATTGATGGTGCTGTTTTGCTTCATGGAAAGATGTTTACATTGAGGAACGTAGGTGAAGTCAGCCAGGTCATCTGACCCAATTTTGCAAAGACTGTTTCTAGCCTGAACTACCCGATATATGCAGTGGGCAAGTCCCTTTCTCTAAACTGGGGCACCAGGTCCTCCTCATTCCCTTCCCACTCGGATAAATGAGCAAACTGCTCAACCTGCCAGAGCCGAGCTGCTCGGTGTGAGTTTAGATTTGGGTTCCAGTCACAACTCTTCATTCACAAGCTGCGTGACATTGGGCAGTTAGCTTTACATTTGTAAAATTCCCACAGGATTGCTGTGATAGCAAAATGAAATAACAAAGGTAGACAATTCTTTAAAATACTCTGCAAGGCACTGCTGATACTGGTGTGGGAGGGCTTTAATAGAATTGTCACACCACTCTAGGGTTTTTGAGAACCCTTGTGGCCCTGTGACTAACACCAGCCACCAAATGTCCACCAATGCAGAATGCCAGGGAGGATGAAGAAGTACATGCAGGGGATCCCACGGAAGTAGAGCATGGTTCGCTCTGGAATAATCTGTATCTCCCATCTATGTCCATCTGTTGTTTTCAAAGAGGAGCAGGAAAATATAACGTTGATGAGTGTAGACGTGGGAGTCAGACTACCTGAATTTCAATCCTAACTCCATCACCTACTGGCTCTGTGACCTTAGCCAAGTTACTCAGTTTCCTCATCTGTAAAATGGGGATAAGAACAGTGCATACCTCATAGGATTGTTGTGAGAAAGGAGGGAACATACATATCGTGTAGATGTTAAGAGTGAGCTCTGGAGCAAGAATGCCTGGGTTCAAAACTCAGCTGCTCTGTTTCTCAGACAAGCAAGGTACCTTCACTCATTCAAAAAATGGGGAAGTATTAGTACCTACCTCCTAGGATTGTTTCATGTGTTGATAAAGTGCCTAGAAATAACTTGCACATGAGAAGCACTCAACAAATGCTGTGAGAATAATTAAGAGAGCATGGCATGCATGACTACATGTTAGAATCATATGTAGTACCATCGTTATTATTGGCATTATTATTACTCTGAGCCCTGGCCAGACCACTCACTGTCAGTTTAAGGACACTCTGTAAATAGTCCAAGTATAGACTTTGGAGTAGTCATAAAACATGTCTCTGAACAAATCCTGTTCCCTGGGTGTGGCAAGTTCACTTGTCACCAGTAGGGAGGTGAGCCTGTGCCTCCCCAGGGAAGCACTGAGGAACAGGAAAGCCAGCAAGATGCTTGGGACGGACAAGCAGGCCCTCAAAGCCACTTGCACACAGCTCAGCTCTCTATCCAGCGGCCACTTTCTCCCCAGGCAGCCAGAAGCTCAGTTTCCCTTCCTTTTTCAAATGGGGCAAGGCTGGGAGGAAGTGAGGAGCACTTACTGGCATCAGGACAGCAGAAGATCCCGGCATCGTAGGGTTGGGCAGGGTCCCGGGCATGGAGGCTGGCATGGGCTGTCTCTGTCTGTTGTGGATGTGTAGCAGAGAAGATAGAGAGCCTGGAACAGGCCTGGGGACAAGGAACGAGAGAAGCAGATATTATTCCTGATGCCCTGGGCAGGGGATTCACTGCCAGTTTCCCCGGGACCAGAACCAGCGGGGGCAACACCATTATATGCAAAGCAGATCAAATCTTCTGGTGGGAGCCACATAATTGAGGATATTAGGGAAATAATAACAAATAAAACACAAGTCTGGCTTCCTTTGCTGCTTCCTAGTTAATACATCAAATTCTACTTCATTTCCTGACCTCTGTTATCTAACTGATGTTCAATAGACAACAAGTTGATAAATCTTCTAACCCCTGCATCTTATCATGGAGACTCAGTGGTAAAATCCTGCAGTGACTAGGAAGTCTCTGTCCTCTGGAGGACTTTAAAACCAGAGATGTGTGTGCATGTGTTTTATCCACACTCTCATACACCTCTGCCTGGAAGCCCTCCTGGCTTGGCTCTGGATACATTTGCACTGTCTGGATTTGCAGAGCCAGCTTCATTCATGAATTCCCAATAGAAATCTATTTTGACTTTTTCACTGTTCTCCACTGTGAGTGGAACAAAAAACAAAATCCAGGACACAAATGAAAGCAGTCGGGTTGTGTTCAGGCCACTGTAGTGGGACAAGTCTGGAGCCCAGCCCCCAATTTCCAACCCCTCATTTCATAATAACTCGAGGTGTGAGGCTGTTTGACAGAAACTGATTTTGACCTGACCTGCAGGACTTGGGTAAGTACACTTTCCTCAGGGGAGTACATAGTTTGAGCTTTTGATTTAATTTGCCAGAAAATATTTTAAGGGCCTTAAATTAATGAGCCAGGGAATATGGGGCTGAGGGTAAAAAGGGAATTATTTGTGTTTATTAAAAATGGCAAACAAGTGACCTGCCTGATGCCCTTGCTCTGGGGAGTTGTATAAATGTTAGACCATGAAGTCAAAGACTTAACAAACAAGTAAACAAACCCGCCTCAGGACCTCTGAATGGGTATGTTAAACCACCTTAACCTGAATGCCACGATAGAAACTACTGCTAACAAAATGAATACATTTGCTTTAAAAAAATAAAAAATCCTCATGTTAAACTTGCAGACAGAGACGGTCTGTGTAGGCCACAGACGGTCTGTGCAGGACTGCGCTTCAGGGAATGAGCCCTGTCCAGAGCCCCCTCTGAGCAGCGTGATACCTCCTCTCTGAGGCTCATTCATCTCCCGTGGGTGACTCGTGGAGAACTGGGAGACTGAAATGGGGAAGAGGCCAACACGCTCTGTCTTTGCAAGGCTGTCAGAATTCCAGAGAAAATCCACTTTTGCCTGATAGCTCCTTTGGAAACACAGCGAGCTATCAGCGTCTCACACATTATAAAAGGATGAGTCATAAATTAGTCTATATTGATATGTTTAGGAAGCTGTATAAATGAAAATAGAAAAGAATATAAAGCCTTTACACTGTTTGTATAGATATACAGAGATTACACCCAGTTTTTAAAAATAGAATGTGTGTGAGTAGTTACATGTAAGTAGTTTGTAACAACCACATGGGTGTTTTCAGAAAAGCACATGGAGTACTTGGCTATTCCTTGCCATGTGCCCTGGGGACCTCTGGAGTATGGATTAACAGTAAGGCCTAGGAGGGCCTCTGAAGGCCCGTCAGCTTTTCTAGTTCCTAGAAACTCTGGGTTTCAAGTGCTCTGGAATTCACCAGCAGGTGTAACTTCCCCAAGTCTTATCTCATTCAGAGGTAGCTACATGGAATCAGAGAGGTGTACCATGTGGCTCAATCAACAGACAGTGCTCATTTATATTCTCGTCTTAATGTTTTGTTTGAGACATTTACTGAAAATAAAATAGCTGTATAAAACTATATCATGCTTAATAATTTTCAGTTCCTTTAAAGATAAGATTAATAATCTGAACTCCCCAGTTTCATGAGAAAGATTCATTGAGAGTATTCCTACAGATAGCTAATTATTCATCCATCCACTCACCCTTTCACCTATAGACCTATATATCCATCCAGATAGATAGATGTGCATATATATACATCTCTACATGCATTACATATATGTATGTAGCCTTTTACCATATGTCTGTTTCCCTAGTCACAGAGGGAATAATACTGCCATTATAGACAGTTAAGGAAAAGCAAAAACTATTATAGGAAAGTCAACTAAAATTTTTTATTATGTGGATTGGCAATATCATCCTCATGAACAAAGGGCAAAATATATATACTATCACCATTTCCATTTTATTCTCAACATATTAATAGAAATCTGGCTATAAGTTTTCATTGATGTTTTCTTTTTAAAAAGAAATCAATTAAACAACTTAATGGTAATTCAAATGGAGATGCTGAAGTAATTAAATTTAAAACAAGTTTTCATTCTTCCCAAGACTATGGAAAACTCCCAGTGGTATAGAATAATTGGGGAATGGTATGTTTCATTCAATGTAATGTTCTTATTAGGTCAGTAATTTCCACACATGCATAAATCTACTCGGTTTTAAAATATCAAGTATTCCTTCATTAATTAAGGCTTTCAAGGTACTGGGTTCTCTTGGGATTAAAATAATAACTACCTAATGATGCCAATCAGACCAATTAGCAATATATACTTGAAGGGGAAAATGGTTATTTGAGAATGCTGTATGCTTGGACTCTAAATGATTTTGAATTATTGTTTTACATAGATTCTGTAAATAATTTCTCCAGCCCCACCTACAAAACTGATGGAGTTTTCTAGGCTTCTTGCTTGGGCTTTTAAAACTACAAAAGCTGAAAGGAATAAAAAAAATCTATGTCTATCCATCACAGGGTATACAAAGGACTAGACTGAAGCAATTGTGTAGCTTGGCCCAGGAAATAATCATTTGTCCAGAATAGTCAGATCACTGAAGCAAGAGTGGTAAGAGAATAATTGCATTAATTAGTTCCCCTTGTGTATATAGAAATAATTATTTAATACCTTGCACTTGCATAAAACTTTTTATATTGCACTTATAAACTATTTCATGTTTTTCAAAATATCTTCACCTTCATGTGACTTGCAACAATGCAGTGTGGTAGGTAGGGAATATTACTCCCATTTTCTCAAGAGTAAGCTGAATTCCAAAACATTTACATCTGCCCAAGGTCAGATGGGTTACGAAAAGACGCAGGATTTCTATCCAACTTTGCAACAGAGTATTTCCTCCACCACACCCTGATGGATCCCGTAACAAAGTTATTATTGATTTTTTTATACTAAAATAAATTCACAGTCCATTTCCTTTAATATTCACCCTGCTCCCTGGACTTTGTAATGAAGTAGTAAAATTCTGCAATACTGCTAATATGAGAAGTCACTCATCCATGGGAAATTATGTTTTCTTCCTTTAAAAAGAAAAAAACCAACAAACGTCCCAAACAACACATGGGTTAGACTCTGAAAATAAGACGGCAAATTGCAGTAAAGTTGTGAAAACAAAGGCCCGACAGTCTCTCTCCAGTGCAGGCTTGTTGCCATGAACTAATAATTCCAGACTTTGAGCAAGCCGAGCCTCCTTTTTAATAACCATATGCCTCTAGGTAAAGCATTTCTACTAAAAATTATTGAGGCATGGAACAAGGTAAGATGTGTGAGCTCATGTTGGATTGTTCAATTACTAAACGGAGTCCCGTAGCATTGAGAGTTTTCCAATGTGACAGATGATTCCTCTTTATACACTTGTATAAACATAATGCTTACGGCTGAAATCTATGTAAGCTTTTCTTTCAATTAAAATGTCAAGGATGACAGACTGTGTTTTCACTGTCTTTAACAGAATGCTAGGTGCCACAGCAAGCATTTTCATGTCCTCGTTTTTCCCCCCAAAGGATGTTTTCCAGTCTAGGGGTGTCTGAGAAGCAGGGCTGTGTCTGCTGGCCCTCCTTGCCCTTGGACGAGCCCAGCTATCTGTAAGGAGCTAAGGACCAGTGCTTTTGTTTGGAAGGTCTTGGAGGGTCACTGCAGACTGCTCTCCTTTCCCAGGTCTTCACAACATTTAGGACCTCTATTAACCTCTCAGAACACACAGATCTGCCACGTGTGTGATCAGGCAAAGGGAAGAAGCAGACGATGAAAAAAATTAGGTCAGAAAATGAGAAGATCAATGTTAGCACCTAAATCAGATAATAGACATCTAAGAAACCTTGAACAGATTAAAAAAAAAAAAAGATAACAACTAGAAGACCTGGGGGAGGGGGAGCAGAATAAGAAAAGCTTCAAAGCAATAAAATGGAAGAAGGGCGGGCAGGAAGCAGATGAGCCAGAGGCCAGGGTTTCTGACCTGGGGAGAACCTGCCTTAGCCTTGGGGCTCTCCCCTTCCTCAACTGGTTAAGGAGTGGACAGGCCACCTGGAAATTTCTTGAAACTAAAATTCAGATTCCAGGCCTTGAAATAAAAATGAGATGCTCTTAATCTAGCAAGACTATCTGTTCCATTATGATAAAGGTTTTCTCCACTGCTCACTGATACATCCACCGTGGTTAATCCAGCACCTGACTCAGAGTAGGTGGCTGCTGTCTATATTAAATAAAATAGAGCCAGTACAGCACTTATTAATGTCAAGAGGACATTTGAAATGTGAATACACCCCAAAAAGAAGGTGTTCCTAAAAGATTAGAGAAGTTGGGAAAAAAGGACCCAATACATTCTGCAGGGCCCACAGTTCTTTCTCATTTAAATACAACATAATTTCACACAGACTAGAGAGAGCTTCTTGCCAGGATCTTTGCATTTGCTAATGAAAAGAACCCCTGCTTCCTTTGCACCTTCTTACATGAAGTGCTATGGCCTCACCTAGGAAGTTAGTTTCTGCCTGGGAGGCTGGAATGCCAAAGAGGGGACACAAACTCTTAACTCTCAATAGAAGGCAGTTTGTAATGAGAAGTGCTCATTTACTCATTCTTCTCTTAACTGGAAATTTGTGTTTTTTTTTAAAGAATAGTTTTGATTTTTTAGAGAGAGAGGAAGAAGAGCAGGGGAAGAGAGAA